TATATTTATGATAATTAATTCGTTTTTATTGATTTTTTAATGAAAGTTTAAGGCTCACAAAGATACTTTACAACCGTTGTTACAGTGATATGGGCATCCCCGCGTTTTGGGCATCCCTATTCCAAAACCTTAGTGATATGGGCACCCCCTTGTCATATTTCTTCAGCGATTTGGGTTAGTGTTAGGGTTACAGGGGATGCCCATATCACTAGGGTTTTGGGGATGGGGATGCTTATATCACGGTGACTGTGACTCCGTCATGCCCAATTTTGTTCCAAACTACTGGGACGAGCGGAGACATGGAACTTACTATGGCTCAAGGAGCCAATCACAAACTTTGCTATTTCATTGGTGGAGGAAGTTGCTGCTGGTTATTCTGCTTATTCGAGTCTCATTTATGTTTGTAGCATTTGCTCTTCATTTATTTCTGATTCCTGTTAACTCGCAGTTTACCACTATGACAAGCACAATCCCAAAGAAGCATGTTTTCCTGTGGACAGCTTTTAGATCCTGTTCATCTGCGTTTGAGCGTTCGATTTTGACTTTACCCCGCATGCGGTTGATGTCAGAACCGTTTTCTGCTTCGTTTTACTTTGGACCTCAGAGACAAAGCTGTCGCTATGAATCAAAAGAGGCTGATTCCAAAGCGAGTTACGAAAACGTTGCCAGGGAAATTCTGAATCAAGCTAATGACGATAACATTGATTTGCTTTTTGTCAAGGATATGGCTTGTTACATGAAAGGAAGATTGGGTTTTAAAGGAATATTTTCAAGACGCGAAACATTCTTTTCTTATTCGAAATCCAAAGAAGTCGATTCCTTCCCAGTATCGCGCTGAGTGAAAATCCAGAAATCAAGATTCCAGCTGTTTTGATTTATTGCAATAAAGCCTTAAGTAAGGATGAAAATGTATTAATTAAAAAAAAAATCATGAGTCATGGATAGCTAGCGTAAATTTATAGTGATAACCCAGTCTTCTAAAGTAATAATTTTTAGCGAAAAATCCACTTAACTTGCCCTCCGGGCCGAAAAATATTATATTGAGTTGTCGATACCTTAATTAACCAGCTGGAGAAGTAAAACAAAATTGCTGAGTTAGTAAAATGAACTGAATTTATGATTAATCGGACAGCACATTTTCTGTTTTGCAAACTATTTTGACGAGACACAAATATAAACTCGCTTTACAAAAAACATTATTTCTTAGAAAAAGTGGAAGACAGAGCCGACACATTCCGTCTCCCGAACCGTCGCAGGTCGCGATGCATGCATGACTCAGGGCTTTCCAAATAAACACGAAACTCTATCTCTGCAGTTTTGCAACAGAGCCACTTGCCTGGTGATTTTAAAAGGCTAGATTAAAAAGAAGAAACTTCCGAAATTAGACAGACTTTCTTGTACTTCAGAGGAAAATGATTTTTCCTGGGTGCTATACTGTGTATGTGGTCCAAAACAGATTCCTACTCACACCGATAGTTGATTTGCAAATTGTGCAGAAGTAAAATTCAGTTCAAGCCATCGACAAAAAACAAGAAAGAACGTATTTGTTATCAATAATTACACTCACCAAGGTATTACACGCAAGACACTGTTGAAGTACCATTTTTGAGCCGTTCATCTATTATTTTCCAAACCTTAACAACAACGCAAAGGGCTGAAATAGATCCGTTTGTTTTGATTACATGAAAATGAATAATGCAACGAAGTCCGTATTTAAAAGGCTCAGTTTTCGACGTCACAATGCGACGAGAATCACTTTCATTGCAGCCTGACTAACTCACGTTGTAGACAGATCTCTATTTCTGAAAGTTATAAGTCACCCTTTTTCGGGGTGAGTTAATATAACATAAAGCCTGATAAGGACATCATATGAGATGGTGGGTCATAGAGCTTTAAAACCCATATAAGGTATTACCAATGGGTCAGAACTCCTCGAGTATGTAATACACGACAGCTTTTATTTCACCTTCATTTTGCAGGGCTGAACCGGCTCTCAACAAACCACCATATACGGTTTACACCAAGTGAAGGGCTGCCTTTCGCTTTTAATGAACATTTAAGTTATTTATGGTGGCCGGTCGTACTAGATGATTTTACATTTCAAGTAAGTAAGCTCAAATAACTGCAGTTAGTCAAATTTAGTTCTGATATTGATTTAATACGCGGTCACAAATACAGCTACTGAGCGCAGATGCATATGGAAAGCGCAAAATATAAACGAGAAAGCACTATCTAGTGACAAGCGTTTTTAGAAAGGCCTACAACTCTGCTTAATACGGGTTTTACTACAACTGAGGTACTTTATTCTCTGTTCAGTTTAAAAGAGGCATGCTTCACTGGTGTCTTTGTAGGTTGCGTGACGACACAAAGAGTCTGCCGCAGAATGTCGTGGGTCGTCATGAGTAGTGGGTAGAGCGTGGGTCGTTGGTGTAGGTGTGGGTCGTGGGCAAAAAAAATCGTTTTCCAATAAAAAATTAAATTAAAAAATTAAATAGCAAAAAGTTCTTAAAAATTTTGCAGACTAGGCTCTGTGAACTTAAGAAGAGCTTAGGAGCTCCTGTCTTTGGATTTTAGCTGACGATACTCACATTCGTAGTAGTTTCTATACTGTTTACAGTCAGCCTGATATTTCAGACGAATCCGATCCCCTCTTTTTTCTCGCCTGGTTGAGGATGGCGATCGCCGTTGTCACAGTGATCATGAATTTGGGCATCCCCTGTGAGCTGGATCGCTGTCCCCCCCTATATTTCGAGCCCAAGCCTCACGTGAAGGTTTGCTTATGCGTCTTGTTATTTTTGTAAACACTATTTTTCATCTACATTTTACTGATTATTACAAAGCAACAAACGCGTTAGCAAAGCATTTATACGCGAATTACCACCAACTTCGCTCTCACCAGTTTTGTCGTCAGAGGATACCCAAATCGCTTTGAGAGCGGCGATCGCCATCTTCAGCTTGGCGGAAGAAAATAGGGGCTGTGATCTAGCTTGAATTTCAGCCATGTTCTCGAGTCGCAAACTTCACTTGCGACTCGGGAGACGGCTAACTTGATTCAGGGCAATTGATAACAGTTAGAAGCTACTGCGGCACTACCACTGCCACTGCAACTATTCACGGCGAATGTGAATCTCAGTATCCAATAAAGTCCAAAGCGACGAGCCCCTAAGCTCTTCTTACGGTCGCAAAGCCGTTAATGGATAACCGTTAAACCGCATGGCAAACAATTACAAGAGGTGGCTGTGTGAGGAAAGCTTGAAAACCTCCTCCTCGCGACCCATTTTAGAAGCAAGCCTTCACTAATTACTGTGATTTGCATAGACCCTCACTCGCCCAACAAATTATTTGCGACAAAATATTGTTTTCTCGTACTCGGAGATGATACAAGTTTCTTTTTCTTTCTTTATTTATTTTTCGTTTTTTTTTTGTTATTTTACGTTATCATTAACTTTTAAAAAAATTTTATCGTTATTATTATTATTATTATTTCATGAAAATTTTTTTTTTTCCGGGATGTTCCGGGATTTTCCGGAATTTTCTGGCATATTCCGGAATGTTCCCCGTTCAGGGGTTTTATCGACGCCCGACATCCTCGGTTGACAGGTGTAAAAACGCCTGCGTGGGAGGCTACACTTACTTCTCGTGACTACATTGTGAAGCCCTCTGGTAGTTTGGTCAGTTTTCTTATCTTCAGGGCAAGCTAGGTTCTAGTTTGGTGAGTTTTGACTAAAGCGTTTTACTCGTTTTATATGTCTTATTGTTGTGAATTCAGTGGAGTGAAAGATGTCTTACTCAGTGAACTTTGATATTCATATCAATAGTAGCTTATAATAGCTCACCATCTAATGACGATTAGCAAATTTACATTCGATTTTGATCGTCAATTTGTAGTTGCTCAGCCGTATTTGTATGCCCCTAAGTCTTCTTGTTAAAACTACGTGAACCATCTTCCGCATCCGTGTCATGTAATTAAGCTAACGTTTACTTGAGTAGTGTAAAGACGCGTTCATACTCCTTCTCTGTGCGTTCATCATTTCATGGTTAACTGCGCAGGAGTGGTTGTTGATTGTTATGTTAAAGCATAACTCTTCTGCATATCGCTTTAACTCGCTTTTCACCATCTGACAGGGGCACACAGCGACTTTTTTCTGTGAAATAACTGTTCGAAGAAGCAAACATTGCCTAGAAATTTCTAAAGCTAAAAATTTGTGGATAACCATTCAATTCGTCTAAAATATTCGGAGGTTTTCTAATAGCTTAAGGCTATGGTTTTCGGTGTGTGTTATTCACATTTCAAGGCATCCGAACAGATAACTAGGGCGACTCCAAATTAACCAAGCAGGCTTCTAAAGCATAGGGAAAACCATCCGAGATACTTCCTGGCGTATTTGGAAACATTCGGTCGTTGGGTGCCCCTGATCTGAACGGATAGAACAGGCTTTGTATTGCCACGCAAACAGTGCATCTTTTCTATTTTAAATTATTATATATTTATGATAATTAATTCGTTTTGGGGGATGGCGATACTTATATCACGGTGACTGTGACTCCGTCATACCCAATTTTGTTCCAAACTACTGGGACGAGCGGGGGCATGGAAATTACTATGGCTCAAGGAGCCAATCACAAACTTTGCTATTTCATTCGTGGAGGAAGTTGCTGCTGGTTATTCTACTTACTCGAGTCTATTTATGTTTGTAGCATTTGCTCTTCATTTATTTTTGATTCCTGTTAACTCGCAGTTTACCACTATGACAAGCACAATCCCAAAGAAGCATGTTTTCCTGTGGACAGCTTTTAGATCCTGTTCATCTGCGTTTGAGCGTTCGATTTTGACTTTACCCCGCATGCAGTTGATGTCAGAACCGTTTTCTGCTTCGTTTTACTTTGGACCTCAGAGACAAAGCTGTCGCTATGAATCAAAAGAGGCTGATTCCAAAGCGAGTTACGAAAACGTTGCCAGGGAAATTCTGAATCAAGCTAATGACGATAACATTGATTTGCTTTTTGTCAAGGATATGGCTTGTTACATGAAAGGAAGATTGGGTTTTTTAAAGGAATTTTTTCAAGACGCGAAACATTCTTTTCTTATTCGAAATCCAAAGAAGTCGATTCCTTCCCAGTATCGCGCTAGTGAAAATCCAGAAATCCAAGATTCCGGTTGGAATTACTTTGACCCACAAGAAGCTGGATTTCAGGAACTTTTCGAAATGTATTCGTTTGTCAAAGATAACCTTGATGCCAATCCAGTTGTTATAGATGCCGATGACCTTCTCGAATCACCGAAGCAGATCATGAAGGAGTATTGTGATCGAGTTGGTATCAAATATGAAGAGCATATGACTACATGGAAACCTGGCGAAATAATCCAAGCCTGGCAAGATGTTTGGGTAGCATGGCGAAGAGGGGCTTTAAACAGCAGCGGTTTCATCAAATCTGACACTTCCTCAAGTAAACCAGAAATAGAGTATCCATCTGATGTTGTCAAAGCTATGGAAGATAGCCAGGCATTTTATGATAAAATGTTTTCTGTTCGACTTAGGTTAGCATAAAAGTTGAGTCGTACGAAGTATAAGTCTAACGTGATCACCATGGTTAGTGCTTTATTGTATACGCTTCTCCTCGTAATCATGGAAATTTATTCAGTATATTCTATTTATTTCGGTGTTGGGCATTTTAACTTTATTCAGGGATATATGATATATAAATATGTTTGTTTTTAGATCGGTTCGGAAATCAAAAGTTCGACTATATCTCAAATATCTTTTGCTAAGGGACAAAGGATGGTGTTTACAAGCTGTCAGAATGGCTGGACAAACTGGCAAACCTTTGCTGGTCTGTTAAGTCTTTGACTAAAGAGTTTTGTACCGGTCTTTTAGGTGTTGGGGTCCATCAGAAAACAGAAGTTGGACGCACGGATAATTGTATGAAACATCATAAGTGTAGTTTCGGTCTTTCGCAGTTACAGGTTTAACTGAGGTTAGGAAACACCTCTTCAAGCTTTTTTAAGAAACATGGAAACAAGTTCGATAGATTTAATATTAAACAAGAGCCATAATGGTATTGGCTCTTGATATAAATAAAAACTTCCCTAAATCTTGTTGGGGCTGCGCGACCTAACACCTTATTTCTTTGTTCTCAGTTAGGCTATTTTCAGCTAAATTTCACTTACTTTCCTACTTTCACACTAAAATTTCTTTCGACTGAATCTTAGGAAAATTTGGTTTCTTTCAAACCATCGCTGTACTTTCTTGTATAGGAATTTGGCTATAAGAGATATTTTCAGTTATGCAAATTTTTTCCACACGCAGCTGAATTCAACTAAATTCGGTATCTTTTGCTCTATCGGTTCTACCACCTCCTAAAAGCTATTTTGTGCATAAGAATACTGTTGACCTTTCTCAGAAACCACTTAACTTAATAGATTAGTATAAATACAACCACTCTGTAAACTTAACTTCGCTTAGTAAATCTTAGTAAATCTTGGAACTCAGACTGAACTATAAGAAGCTCAGGAATAAACCGCTGTTCAACTCAACTTCCTGTGTACCTCGACTCTCTCAAAATCTGTACCCCTACACATGTCTCATTTAATTCTTAATTGTTTTTTTTTTTTCGGTACACTTTGGTTCAGTGTTCTTTAAGAAAATACAATAAAATCAACTCTCTCATAACGGAGAGCTAGGCTAAAGACCGCCGCGCCCTAATGAACCCTGCATGTATTCTCCCGGCAACTGTGTGGTGCACATTTATTTCTTGACGTGGTCAAGTCAGTTGTTGCTGCGAGTTTTATCCATTTCTGGGATCTGGGCCATAGACCTCAAAAAAGTAACTGTTAATATGTTCTTTCTATTCTGTCGTTATCATCTCTGGATGAATAAAAGGGAGAAAAAAATATAAAAGAATAAGGATTCTTAAATACGTGCTGTCCCCCAATTAGTACCTGATCCACACCCAGATTGTAAAGAGTGGAGAGAGGAGGGTTCTTCCGCCCTCTCTCCTCACGTTAGCCTGTTCCCGGCTTCAAGATAGTGGTGAAAGGTCGTTCAGTGAAAATGTGTAAAAAGATTTGAAATGCGAAAAACGCGCGGGGGCTGGGGAGAGACATTTTTCCCGCTGCCACCACCCCCTTTCCCAAGTCGCGCGCGTCTTATTTTCCTTCTGCTCGTTTTAATACGTCCCCACTAAATAATCTGAGAGCCTAGCACAGGCTATCTTCACCCCGACACCCTCACCCTCTCGTCTGAACGCCTGGAACAAGCTACTTGTCCTTTTTCGTAAATCTCTCTCTCAGTTTGCTTAAACACATGTCTTTTCGTGCCCGTTTACCAGCGGATTCGTGTAAATATAGCTATTTAGGCCTTTGGTTTGAGCGCCTTATTGCATCGCAGAGTTTGTTTTCGTAACGTGACACTATTGACAGTTCTTGCGTGACAAAAGCACGTGACCTCGGATACAAAAAGAGTTTGATGAGATAAAATCCTTCCTTTCACTCTGGTTTTGATAACCACTTGGTCATTTTCTAAACAACGTTCCCACGAGTTCTTTCTATAGACTGATAGTAATTATTCTAGTGCTTTCCAACATGTAAATAGGACATTCAATGTCATTTTCGATTCTTTCAAGTCCCACTGCCTAACTAATGCCAGTATCAACAGAATGTGCCGCAGCATTACTATCTTTTAGATACCCTAGTTATTGATTTATTTATTGAACAGAAGTAAAAGGACCATCAGAGAGGAGTTAGATCAGTTGCGTCAAAAAGTGATAGTTACGAGGGGAATATAGTTTCCTAATTCTTCAGCAGTTTCTCCATCTTGTCGGCGGTTTCTTATAAATGTTTGAGAAATTCTTTTCCAAACAATTACAAGAGGTGGCTGTGTGAGGAAAGCTTGAAAACCCCCCTCCTCGCGACCCATTTTAATATATTTTGAATTTAGAAGCAAGCCTTCACTAATTACTGTGATTTGCATGGACCCTCACTCGCCCAACAAATTATTTGCGACAAAATACTGTTTTCTCATACTCAGAGATGATACGAGTTTCTTTTTCTTTCTTTCTTTATTTTTCGTTTTTTTTTTTGTTATTTTACGTTATTATTAACTTTTAAAAAAAATTCATTATTATTATTATTATTATTATTTCATGAAAATTATTTTTATTTTTTTCCGGGATGTTCCGGGATTTTCCGGAATGTTCTGGCATGTTCCGGAATGTTCCCCGTTCCGGGTTATATCGACGCCCGACGTCCTCGGTTGAGCAGGTGTAAGAAATACGAGCTCCCCTAAAAACGCCTGCGTGGGAGGCTACACTTACTTCTCGTGACTACATTGTGAAGCCCTCTGGTAGTTTGGTCAGTTTTCTTCAGGGCAAGCTAGATTCTAGTTTGGTGAGTTTTGACGAAAGCGTTCTACTCGTTTTAGACCGTTTTATGTCTTGTTGTTGTCTTTTCAGTGGAATGAAAGATGTCTTACTCAGTGAACTTTGATATTCATATCAATAGTAGCTTATAGTAGCTCACCATCTAATTTACATTCGATTTTGATCGTCAATTTGTAGTTGCTCAGCCGTATTTGTATGCCCCTAGGTCTTAAAACTACGTGCACCATCTTCCGCATCCGTCTCATGTAATTAAGCTAATGTTTACTTGAGTCGTGTAAAGACGCGTTCATACTCCTTCTCCGTGCGTTCATCACTTCATGGTTAACTGCGCAGGGGTGGTTGTTGTTGTTGTTATGTTAAAGCATAACGCTTCTGCATATCGCTTTAACTCGCTTTTCACCATCTGACAGGGGCACCCAGCGACTTTTTTCTGCAAAATAACTGTTCGAAGAAGCAAACATTGCCTTGAAATTTGTAAAGCTTGAGAAAAGCTAAAAATTTTTGGATAACCATTCCATTCGTCTAAAATATTCGGAGGTTTTCTAATAGCTTAAGGCTATGATTTTCGGAGTGTGTTATTCACATTTCAAGGCATCCGAACAGATAACTAGGGCGACTCCAAATTAACCAAGCAGGCTTCTAAAGCATAGGGAAAACCATCCGAGATACTTCCTGGCGTATTTGAAAACATTCTGTCGTTGGGTGCCCCTGATCTGAACGGATAGAACAGGCTTTGTATTGCCACGCAAACAGTGCATCTTTTCTAAAATTGTTTTATATTTATGATAATTAATTCGTTTTTAGTTATTTTTTTATGAAAGTTTAAGGCGCAAAAAGATACTTTACAACCGTTGTTACAGTGATATGGGCATCCCCGCGTTTTGGGCATCCCCATTCCAAAACCTTAGTGATATGGGCACCCCCTTGTCATATTTCTTCAGCGATTTGGGTTAGTGTTAGGGTTACAGGGGATGCCCATATCACTAGGGTTTTGGGGATGGGGATGCTTATATCACGGTGACTGTCACTCCGTCATGCCCAATTTTGTTCCAAACTACTGGGACGAGCGGGGGCATGGAAATTACTATGGCTCAAGGAGCCAATCACAAACTTTGCTATTTCGTTCGTGGAGGAAGTTGCTGCTGGTTACTCTGCTTACTCGAGTCTCATTTATGTTTGTAGCATTTGCTCTTCATTTATTTCTGATTCCTGTTAACTCGCAGTTTACCACTATGACAAGCACAATCCCAAAGAAGCATGTTTTCCTGTGGACAGCTTTTAGATCCTGTTCATCTGCGTTTGAGCGTTCGATTTTGACTTTACCCCGCATGCGGTTGATATCAGAACCGTTTTCTGCTTCGTTTTACTTTGGACCTCAGAGACAAAGCTGTCGCTATGAATCAAAAGAGGCTGATTCCAAAGCGAGTTACGAAAACGTTGCCAGGGAAATTCTGAATCAAGCTAATGACGATAACATTGATTTGCTTTTTGTCAAGGATATGGCTTGTTACATGAAAGGAAGATTGGGTTTTTTAAAGGAATTTTTTCAAGACGCGAAGCATTCTTTTCTTATTCGAAATCCAAAGAAGTCGATTCCTTCCCAGTATCGCGCTAGTGAAAATCCAGAAATCCAAGATTCCGGTTGGAATTACTTTGATCCACAAGAAGCTGGATTTCAGGAACTTTTCGAAATGTATTCGTTTGTCAAAGATAACCTTGATGCCAATCCAGTTGTTGTAGATGCCGATGATCTACTCGAATCGCCGAAGCAGATCATGAAGGAGTATTGTGATCAAGTGGGTATCAAATATGAAGAGCATATGACTACATGGAAACCTGGCGAAATAATCCAAGCCTGGCAAGATGTTTGGGTAGCATGGCGAAGAGGGGCTTTAAACAGCAGCGGTTTCATCAAATCTGACACTTCCTCAAGTAAACCAGAAATAGAGTATCCATCTGATGTTGTCAAAGCTATGGAAGATAGCCAGGCATTTTATGATAAAATGTTTTCTGTTCGACTTAGGTTAGCATAAAAGTTGAGTCGTACGAGGCAGTCTAACGTGATCACCATGGTTAGTCCATGTGCTAGGGTACATTTTTGCTCAGCCTGCTTTATTGTATACGCTTCTCTTCGTAATCATGGATATTTATTCAGTTTATTCTACTTATT